CCACCCTCACCGGCTGGGGTTGGGGAGAGCAGACAGCAGCAAAACTAGAAAGAGATGCTCAGCGAGTGCTGAGTTATGAGCGTGATGGGGCGGGCAGGGCAGCGGGAGCTGTGGACAGTGCTCTCCTTCTCAGCATCACACGCAGCCCCTGCTCCTGGGGCTCCCCTTCCCCCAGAGCTGTCCCTGGGATGACAGGGAGTTTCCTCTCCAAGAAGGTTAGTCCCACCCCAGGGGGCAGCCAGCGGCCAATGGCCAGCCCTCAGTGGTGGGACCAACTTGGGTGCAGTTCACACTCATGAGCTCCCGTGTGATTGGGGCCAGGCGGTCACAGCTGAGCCCCTGTCATTACTGGGCTGTCCCATGCGCAGTCCCTGTGTCCCAGTCCCCTACAAGGACTCCCCCAACAGATTAGGTTCAGAAGACTCCCTGTCTCCAGTCCCTGATCCAACTCTGGTGGCCAGAATGAGGGAAGGAAGCCAGGCTGGGGACCCGCAGGGCAGCCTGCCCCATCAGGCCCTGGCGTGTTCACAGGGGCAGGGGCGCCACAGGCCTTGGGATCGCACTTCTGTTTTGATTCTTAGAATTTGGCCTTTTTGTATTATCTTCCTTGGGCTGCTGTAACAAAGTACCACGAACTGGGTGGTTGAAAACGATAGAAACAATGAAAACGATTGTCTCACTGTTCTGGAGACAGAAGTCCAAATCCAGGTGTGGCCAGGGCCACAGTCCCTCTGATGGCTCCAGGGCAGGATCCTTCCTGCCTCTCTCAGCTCCCAGTGGCTCCTGGCGTTCTTTGGCTTGTGGCTGCATCGCTCCGGTCCTGCCTCTGTCTTCTTCCCTCTATGTGTCTCTGTGTCCTCTCCTCTTCTCTCAAAGACACCAGTCATCGGATTTAGGGCTCACCCTAATCCAGGATGATCTCATTTCAAGATCCTTAATGTAATTATATCTGCAAAGACCTTATTTCAAGTGACGTCCCATTCACAGGTTCTGTGTGGACGTGAGCTTTAGGGGACAGGCTTCAATCCACTGTACGGGTCCTCAGAAACCTGACTTTGGCTGCACTTTCCGTGTCCTCACTTTGCCCCTCCCCGCTGCTCCTAAAGACCTCCGCAGGTTCACCAGTTCAGCCCAGGAGAGGGGCTGTTCCCCATGCCCCAGGGAGAGGGTCCACTGGTTTCTGATAGGTGTGTGGCCTCCCTTGGGTCCTTGCAGAGGCAGCAATGGCCTCTGCCCCTGTCTGCAATGACCCATCAGCTGCCTCTCCCAGACCCCAGGCATCTCCAGCTCCACTGCCCCGACACAGGCAGACACAGAGCCAGGAGCAAAGCCGGGACCCAGCGTCTTCCCAGCCAGGGGGCCTGAGTGGTTCTGAGCCAGCAGCAGGGGTGTCCTGGGCCTGTCCTTTGAGAGCTTCCAAGCACAATATGGAGCAGTCATTTCGGGGGTGGGGGCTGCCTACAGGGTGAAACCTCAGCCTTGTGTATGAGGACACTCTGGAAAATAAGTAAAATGCATATGCCTTAGGGCAGCACTGTGCAATAGAACTTTCTGTGATGGTGGGAATGTTTTGGATCTGTCCTGTCCAGAACGGTGGCCACTGGTCACAGGTGGTAAGTGCAACTGAGCAATGGAATTTTTATTTTGCTTAATTTTAATTAATTTAACTTGAATACCCCATGTGGCTAGTGGCTCCTGAGCTAGGCAGCTCAGCCTGGTAACACTGTCCCAAGGTGAGGCAGGCAGGGCCCAGGGGATGCTGATGTCCTGGGTGCTGTCTGGGGCTGAGGTGGCCCCAGTACCTAAGAGGGTGGGTGGTCACAGGACACACACAAGTGCAGGGCCTGTGACTGTGGGGCCACAGTTAACTCCTCTTCACCCTCCAGGTCACATCTCAGGTGGCACTCCCACGGGGAAGCCCTCTTTGATTATGTAATGGTCAAGGCCCTTGTCGCTCCGGCAGTCATGGCCCTCACCACAGTTGGAATTTTAGTCCATTTGTGGAATATTGGAGAGAGTAGGGGGGATTTGGGCAGCAAGCTCCACGGGAGTGGGGAGACCTCCTTCTCTGTTTACCGTGGTAACCACAGTTCAGCTCCCAGAGCCAGCACATAGTAGGTGCTCAGCAAATGAGTTCAATAAAAGACCCACAGCTGTGTCCCCCTGAGCTCGCTGAGCACTGGTGTGGGCACATGTAGTTACTGGAGAGTGGGGGCGGGGCAGTGGCCTTGCTGGCACAACTGCTAGACTAGCAATGCTGGTTGGAGCAGGTGATGCTGCTTAGCAGACATCCCCAGTCTCGACGGCGTCAGACAACAGTTTCTTTCCGCGTCTCACGATGTGTTCACAGAGGGCTAGCCGTGCCGTTGAGCGTTCCGCCCTTCGGAGGCACTGAGGGTCTATGCCTGGCTGAGTACCCCATCTTGAATGTCAGACCAGAGGCAAGAGGGAGGTCTGGGGTGTCTTTCACTGGCAGTGAAATCCTTGCTGGATGGTGACACGTGTCACCTGCAGAACGAGTTGTGTGCCCCTCCCCACAGGGGCCAGGATGTGTGGTTCCCGCCCTGTGCGTGGAAGGCAGAGAGCGGGAACCCACTGAGAACCGCTGGTGTCCAGGAAGGAAAGTAGGAGGAAGAGCTAGGGGCTGGCGCAGACGCGGGCGGACCCCCAGCTCAAGTCCCCGTGTGTCTGACCGAAGGAACGGGGTGCGTTGCAGGGTGGAGTCACAGCGGCACCACGAAGAGATTCCCTGGAGCTGCCGCAGAGGCCTCAGAGGAAGTCTCCTGGCCCTGTCATGCTTGTGGAATCTGTGCTTCAGAGCAGTCGCTTTGCTGGGCTGTCCCGGGGCCTAGTGTCACTGAAGGATGAGCACAGATGGTCGGGGATTTTCCTGGGATGGTGGGGGAGGGGAAGGGACCCCCCTGGGGCTGGGTCAGGAGGGGAGAAAGGGTGGGGGAGGGCAGANACGTGTCACCTGCAGAACGAGTTGTGTGCCCCTCCCCACAGGGGCCAGGATGTGTGGTTCCCGCCCTGTGCGTGGAAGGCAGAGAGCGGGAACCCACTGAGGACCGCTGGTGTCCAGGAAGGAAAGTAGGAGGAAGAGCTAGGGGCTGGCGCAGACGCGGGCGGACCCCCAGCTCAAGTCCCTGTGTGTCTGACCGAAGGAACGGGGTGCGTTGCAGGGTGGAGTCACAGCGGCACCACGAAGAGATCCCCTGGAGCTGCCGCAGAGGCCTCAGAGGAAGTCTCCTGGCCCCGTCATGCTTGTGGAATCTGTGCTTCAGAGCAGTCGCTTTGCTGGGCTGTCCTGGGGCCTAGTGTCACTGAAGGATGAGCACAGATGGTCGGGGATTTTCCTGGGATGGTGGGGGAGGGGAAAGGACACCCCTGAGGCTGAGTCAGGAGGGGAGAAAGGGTGGGGGAGGGCAGAAGTGTCCCCACAGTGACTTGGAGCTGGGCCCCAGGAGAGGGAGGTCTCTATATTTGGCACCAGTCTGGGGGGAACCAGCAATGAGCTGAGCTGGGGAAGGTGGACCACAGGGTGGGGTGGGGCCCTTAGGCCACTTCTCTCAAGGAGAACTGGAGTTGGTGGTCTCTGATGGTTGATGTTTCCATAGGGAGTAGAACTTTGGGGACAGACTTTAAAAGACACCTGTGGGATTGGGTCGGGAGGGGTCAGGAGACACTTTCTTTGCATATGTCTGAGGGGCTCTTTCTGAAGGAGCTGTAGATGGCTTCTTTCACCAGAGTATTCTCTTTCCCCACCCTGCCAAGATTTTTCTGGTTACAAGTGTTGGGAAGGTAGCTCAAATGGTCTTAAGCTACAGCAGTGGATTTGCTGGTGCCTCGCTGAGGGGCTAGCTTCAGGCATGGCTTGATCTAGGTGTTCAACGTTGGCAGGACTTGAGCTTTCACCACCTCTGATCCTTGCTCTGGCTGATGTTGCTTTATTTCCAGATGGGTTTCCCTTAAGTGGTGGCAAGTTGGTCACCCACCCCCCTACATGCTTAGCGACCACTGGGGGGCTTTTCCCACAGCTCCAGCAGAAAATGTTGGCAGGCCTTTCTTTGGCCCAGCATGGATCACATGCTTACGCCTAATCCAGTCCTTGTCCTCGGGAAGATTCAGTGCTGTTTCCCGAAGAGGTGGATGCTGGGCAGACAAAGCAAGGGTCTGCATGCCCCCGCCAGGGACGTTTGCCATTCTGACTGGCTTCCTGTACCTCTCCCCTCTACAGGCCTAGCCAGCTCCCACCTGTGTGTCCCTTCCCCTACAGGTGTGCCACAGACAGGTGTAGCAGGGTCTCTCTACCCCTCTGGAGGTTGCCCCAGCTTTGGGTGGCACCAGGCAGGGCTGGACACACTTTTTTTTTTTTTTTTTTTTTTTT